AAAAAAAAAAAACTAAACGCAGCTTAAACAAAAAATTATGCTAAAATATATATAAAGAAAAAGAAGAAGAAGGGGGCATTCAAGGCAGAAAACATTTGAGTTTTGAATCGAAATACTACGTCTCCATTCCGTTTTACCAAGATTCCTTCAAGTTTCATCTGAAATTCGAGGTTTTGCTCTGTTTTCTTGTTGCTGTTCACATTTGGGGTTCTGTGGTAAGAAGACCGTAGTCGCTGGCTCATCTTGTCCCGTTCGCTGCCCGAAAAAAGGTAATAACTATTTCTCCACTTACGTTCTATTTCAATTCCAAGCATTATGTGATAAACTTGCTTCTGTTGGGTTTCTCGGCATCTGTCCTGTTCTCTTTTCTATTTTATTTTATGTATTTATTTTTTGACTTTTTGACTTCAATACTCTTAGTTGGAAGTTTGTTTGGTTTGAATATGAGCTTTTCCGACTTAGTTTCTTCGTTGTGTGGACTCTTAATTGATCATCGTGTTTTTTTTTTATCAGATTCTTCGGCTCATTTTGTATCCATGAGACTAGTTAAACCTCTGTTTTACCTTGTTCAAAATAGTTTAAAGTTCATTTGGTCTCAACTGTAAGTGTATCGATTGTGTCATTTGGATTATTTGCTATTGGGTTAACTTTCATTTGTATGATAAGAGTGTGACTGTATTCTTGGCAGTATGTTTTGGTGTTCTTCTTATTGTGAAAGATTCTTGTTAACACTAGTTTAAACTTGCATAATAAGTGTATCTAGTCTTTATCCCTGCTTAGTCGGACTGGTATCCGTTTCTCTTTGGTTTTTACTCGTGATAGTATAGCTCCGCTCTTGTAATGTATTGATTTGACCAAGGTTTCTCTTACTTTTTTCCAGAAAATCACCCTTTCATCTTCGTCTAATCTGCAATATCTATCATGAGTATAATTTGTTAGTTAGCTTAGTCACATATTTGATGTTATTGCTCAACAATGCTATTCTCTTTGCGTATTGTATTTATTCATGCCTATTTTTGCTTATGTCCAGCATGCTAGTTTGAGAATGGGGCTGCCTTGTTTAATTATTTATGGCCATTTGTTGTTACCTATACTTGAGATAATTTGGCCGAATCACTACCTCTAAATTTCTGTTTTTTTTTAGTATGATAAGCTAGCATCTCTAGGCTTCTATAGATAGGTTTTGTTTTAGTTATTGGCATTGATTTCTGGATGTGTGTAGCGTGTTGATTTTTCTTTTAAGATTAATTCCCGGTGTTTTGGTCGTATGCTCTTTGGATTAGTTTACAGAGATGAAAGAGTGATTTTCAATTTTTATGGCTTAGTTAGTCTTAATTAATGTATAAATGAGGCTTCACAGAGCATGTGGGTAGACATAATGGTTTAATAAATTGCTTTTCTCCTCTGCTTTGGACCTGTCAGTAGTGTGGTTATTATTATCCACTTATTTTATTTTATTTTAGTTTAAGGGTGTTAAATTGTAATTTCCTTTGACATTTTTTTAAATCATTTTTTTGAGATTGGTCAATCATCATCGAACTATGATTTTGGAGATGCTATTATTGAGTACTAATCCTTATTATCATTTTTTGCCACATGTAAAATCTGTCCGAGTTCACCGTGAACTCCCATTTCCTTATCTTGCATTTCGTGAGAGCCGTAAAGGCTCAAATACCTCCACCATCGAGTCAGCCATCTAAAAAGCGACGAACAGGTCTCAGAGTTGAAAGAAAAGCGGGGCAGATCGGGAGTTGAAAAAGATTGGGCCAAAAGCCCGCCTCTATTTATTTTGAGTTGTATTGGGCCTAAGCCTGTTTAGTCATTATGTTTATTATTTTGTTAGAATTTAGGACAAACTAACATTAGCCATTTGCCATCTGTGGGATCAGAACGCACCCCACTTCTCATGGAAATGACAATGAATGATTATCAAGGTATTAAGTATTTCAAATTCCTGCATTGTTGGGTTGATAATGACAGCTTCATGGACACTGTGACATCTTGCTGGAATAAAGAAGTGCATGGCAACCCTATGTGGAGATGGCACCAAAAAATGAAAAGGTTAACTACCACTCTTAGTGCCTGGTCTAAAAGGGAATTTGGAGACATTTACTCCAAGGTAAAAGAATTTGAAGAAAAGGTCAAAGTAGCAGAAGAGGAGCTGATTAACAATAACACTGGAACAAACAGACATAATCTTCATTACATCAATGCTACCTACATCAAGTATTTGAAAATAGAAGAAGAAATTCTCAAGCAGAAAACTCAGCTTCAGTGGTTCAAAGAGGGAGATGCTAACACTAAATACTTCCATGCCCTTATGAGAGGAAGAATGAGGAGATTATTCATTCACAAGATTTGTAACAGTGTAGAGGAATGGGTTTAAGGGGACAGTAACATTGCAACTGCAGCCTGTGAACACTTCCATAAAATCTTCACAGGCCATGAAACCAGAATTGATGAAAGAATTCTCCAACATCTTCCTACACTGGTGACACCTGAGCAAAATATGATTTTACAGGAGATACCCAATATGGAGGAATTGAAACAAGTTGTTTTATCTATGAACCCCAATACTGGTCATGGTCCTGATGGTATGGGGGGAAATTCTATCAGACTTGTTGGGAGGTCATTAAAGAGGACTTACTTGCTATTGTACAGTCTTTCTTCAATGGTCAAAGTATGCCCAAGTTCATGTCACATGCCTGCCTGGTCCTGCTTCCTAAAGTTGCTCAGCCTAATAATTTTTCTAAACTTAGACCTATCAGCCTGAGCAATTTCACCAACAAAATCATTTCCAAGATCCTAAGTGTAAGACTGGCTCCCATCCTTCCTCACCTCATATCTCAAAATCAATCAGGGTTTGTTAGAGGAAGGAATATTGCTGAGAATATTATTTTGGCACAAGAAATCACTTATGGTATAAAAAAACCTAAAGAAGGAGACAATGTGATTATCAAGCTTGACATGACCAAAGCCTATGATAGAGTCTCTTGGGCTTACACTTGTTTAGTTCTAAGGAAAATGGGCTTTGGAGATGTGTTCATTGACATTGTTTGGAGAATCATGAGCAACAATTGGTACTCTATTATAATCAATGGAAGAAGACATGGATTTTTTCATTCCACCAGAGGTCTCAAGCAAGGGGACCCTATTTCCCCTGCCCTATTTATTTTAGGTGCTGAAGTCCTCTCTAGAATGTTGAATCTGTTAAACTATAATATGTCCTATAAAGGTTTTAGTCAAAAGGACAGTCCTATCACTTATCTAGGTTGCCCTTTATATATTGGGAGACAAAGAATCATTTATTATTCCCAACTTGTGGACAAGGTGGCTAAAAGGATAAGTGGATGGCAGACAAGATTCCTTAGCTTTGGAGGAAGGGTTACTCTTATCAAATATGTTCTTCAATCCATCCCCATTAATACCATGGCAGCAACTTTACTTCCCAACACCACCATCAAGTACATGAAATGCATAATTGCAGATTTTTTCTGGGGAAATGAAGGAGACAAAAAGAAATATCATTGGGCATCTTGGGAATCTCTGAGTTTTCCTTGTGAGGAGGGAGGTATTGGTGTGAGAATGTTGTCTGATATCTGTACTTCATTACAATTCAAACATTGGTGGTTATTCAAGACCAAAGAGTCTCATTGGGAACAGTTCCTTAGAGCTAAATACTGTAGGGTATCACATCCAGCGGCAAGGAAATGGGACAATACGCAATACATGCTAAAAAATAGGAGCATGATGGAAAAGAACATCAGGTGGAAGATCAATTCTGGCAACTGTTCCTTTTGGTGGGATGATTGGCTTGGAGTTGGAGCTCTTGGTAATCTCATAAATGGAATTTCTAGTCAAAACAATACCAAAGTGCACCACTTCCTGCTTGAAGGAAAATTGAATGAATTTAAGCTAAGACAGCAGGTTCCTCTTTGATTAGTAACACGGATTCTGAGGATGGACATCCAGTTCCAAGCAGGGGTCAAGGATGAGGCCATTTGGACACATAGAGAGGATGGAAATTTCTCCTGCTCCTCTGCCTGGGAAATCTACAGGGCAAAAAACAAAAATCCAAGATCAACACCCACATTTGGCACTAACACATTCCTTTCAAGATCTCTTTTTTGATGTGGAGAGCTCTTAGATTCAAATTGCCTACCAATGACAATATCATTAGCTTTGGTGTGGAACTTGCGAAGTGTTGTTGCTGCATCAGACAGGGATGGGATGACATTAATCATATCTTCTCAGCAGGTTACTTTGCCACTCACATATGGAAATTTTTCTCAAGACTGTTTGGAGTTAACTACCAATACACACCTCTGAAAAATCACTTACTAAAGTGGTGGAGTCTCACTCCGAGAAATGAGGTCCACAAACTCATAATTCAAGCTGTCCCTTTAATGGTTTCCTGGAACTTGTGGAAGAATAGATGAAGAGCCAAATATGGAGGGAAGAAATCCAGCATTTCAAGAGTCCAATTCATGATCTTCAAAGACACCAACCTTCTACTTCAAACAACCTATCCATATATACAATGGCCTATGAACTGGAAGGTTGTTATGAGGATAATTGAGGAGTGCAGGCATGATATTAAAGTAAATCCAGTCACTTGGGAAAAATCACCTCCCAACATTTTCAAATTGAATACAGATGGAAGTGCATTAACCAATCCGGGCAGAATTGGAGGAGGGGGCTTTATTAGAGATGACTCAGGAAACATGGTATATGCATTCTCTATCCCTCTTGGCATTGGAACCAACAACTTAGCAGAAATACAAGCTGCTGTTTATGGTATTCAGTGGGGTCTACATGTTACAGCATGCTAGTCCTAGAGGTAGATTCTGAATTGGTTACAAGATGGATCACCACCACCAACAAGCCTCCTTGGAAGTTGATGCAAGTAGTGTCTGATCTTCAAAACCTCACCAGGCAGTGTGAATTTTTTCAGTGCAGACACATCTACAGAGAAGCCAACTGTACAACTGACTTCCTTGCTAAATGGAGCCATAAATTCAGTAGAAACCAGCACTTCTACACCATCCAACAACTTCCTCCAGCAGCAAAGGGAAGTTACGTTTTGGAAAAAATGGAGATGACCAATTTCAGAAGGAAGAAGCTCAAGAGAATCAAGCATCCACCTTGATACTACCTCATTACGGCATATATAGAAATTTCTTTAGTTTTTGGTTCCCTACCCTTTTCATTTTGGCTATGGTTAATTTTAGGTATAACTATAGTGAATAGGCGTAGGTTTTTATTCTCCTTGTACGGGCAGAGTCTCCCTTATTTAAAATTCATAGTTGATATGTAAAGAGAGGAGTCCTCTCTTAGGTGTCTTCTTTGATTTTACCTTAGACTATGGGGATGAGTTTGTTAACCTTAGTAGGATAACTTACTCAAAACCACCTTAGGTGGAGGTAAGGTTTACGCCCCCCTCTTTGTACTTTTGTTCTTATTTATGATAAGGCCTGGGGGTGTTTCTAAGCCCTTGACCTCCCCCCCCAAGGGTCGTTCAAAAATAAAATAAAATAAAAAAATCATGATGAATAAACTTAAATTCAATAGAACCCATTCATAAACTCTAAAATTGGGTAAGAATCGTAATTGAGAATTTGAGGTTTTTTTGGGACTCAATGGATGAAGAAGAACCCATTGATGAATTTCCCACTTATACTGATAAAATGCTAGATTGAACTTGAAAGAGGAGACTTGAAATTCTTGGAGCTTTAGAATCCTTGTTCTTCCTTGGAAGAGGAGACTTGAGGGAGTATTTGAAGTTATAGAGAAAGAGGGTGAATAGGGGGGTTAGTGTCTTAGGAAAATCAGTTATAGTCTCTAATTAAGGTCTAAAATGACATATTATAGGAATTAAAAGAGTAGGAAAATATCCAACTACCCCTTAAAATAACTACCGAACCGCGCTTCATGAGTAGCAGTCATAGAGTGTAAATCCTTCTACGATCTGTGAAGTCATCTATCATGACCTGAGTCTATACCCCAGTCGAGATACGGTACCTATGACCATGAATGACGCCGGACTAACCCTTGACTTAGCATATCAGGTATATCATATGAACTATTGCGTAAGATGAAACATATGCTTAATAAAGAATTCAATAAACTCCATGAGACTACATTACTAATGTCTGAATAAAATATCTACTACTTTAGAATGAAATTATAAGTTTGTCGGGACTTGGCCCCCAACTACCTCAAAACAAAGACAACATAAGGAAAAAAGTTGGCAGTCTAAAAAATGGAGTCCCCAAATGAGGAGGGCTCACAAAAAGCTAACTGGGAGTACTGCAACCTTAGTAGCCACGAATCAGAGTGCGAATAACGAAATCTACATCATAAAATGATGCAAAACTGAGAAATATATGCGTCAGAACGCAAAATGTACTAAGTAAGTAAGGCAGGACACTAGCATAATCATTTAAGGAATCACGAATAAGACAGTGAAATAAGATTTTTAAGATCATATGTATAGTAAAAGTGCCGAAGAGAAAACAGTTGAAGTCCATGATCAAGTATCATAAAAATATCTTTTGAAAAGTACATATACATATAGTTGAGTCATTTTATGTAGTCTTGCATAATCATGTACATAAAATATCGTACTTAAAATGAATCATATAGACCTAAAAACATATCATAAAATTTGCATAATTTAGGAGTGTCTTCTAACCGACATATACCATGTGAGCTCATGATGTCCAACACCTAACCCAGTTGGGAGGAATGTCCTATATCTTGCTAGAGTATAAGACCATATCATCTTTATATGGATCCACTAATTTGAGCCTTTCAGGGCCAGATGGTCAACCGATAAAATAGTGAAACATAATTCTACATTGGAGTATAGTTATGAAACTTGGATTTTATAAACCCGCATCCTCTCGATACTAAATAGTCCTCCCAAAACAACATATATCCATATAATGTTCATGTTTATGAAAATAATTTATCCTTTTGAATAATATATGATACTAAGCTAAAAAAATCATATCTAAAGTAACCTGAATTTAGGTTGAAACTCATATCATACTAGTATTCATACTTAAAAGTCATAATTTTTTTAAAGAACCATGAAATTTTATGCAAAATAATTACAATAAAGTTTTTAAAATCAAAGTAAGACGATGAAAACATCAATTAATGAAGAGTATCATAAGTTCATAAAAAGTGCTAGATTTGCTTCTAACAATTTTGAAGAATTCTTGAAAATTGAAATACTTTAGGCATGAGAGTGAAAGGGATATTCTCATTGAAGCCTTACACACCTGGAAGAACAAGGTTCTTGAAAACGCTTGAAGAAGAACTTGCTTGGAAACCTTGAAACCCTAGCTTTGGTGTATATTGAAGTTCTTGAGTGTAGATTTTTTTTAGAATGAGAGGGTTGAAATAATCAGAATTGATTGACTTTGGCTTTTGTGAGGAATTGATAGTCATGGATTGGGATTTTGGAACGAGGAAAACATATAAACACCCCTCCTAAAACATGAAAAGAAGAGAAGACTAAATGGACATAACTTTTAGCACATAACTTGAATTGACGAAAGGTTAAAAACGGCTGAAAGAAGGCTTTAAGGCCTTTCATTTGGTTGGTATTAAGCCAAGAAAATATTCATATTTTAGGATATATGATTGATTGAAGTTGATCCTTCAATGAATTTACGTGAATAACTTAATTGTTAGGAAACCTCTCAACTCGACTTTGTGCTAAAGGTTTATTATGACCTGAATTCACATCCAAAGCACTTCTAATACTTAGGAATGTACCTTAACATATATGAACAAGTGATATATCAGCCAACCCAAGTTGATAAACTTACGATAACTGATTTAGATTCTAAGAATAGAGTTGCGAGGTGTTATAATATCTCCTCATTGGGATCATTTGTCCTTGAATGCAAATCAAATTGTTGGGTTTCGGGTGTTTTGATGATACTCACAAAAGCAGGGACCTGGTCCTTGGAAGAGTGCTCTCGTCCAAGTCTGTAATGATGTATAACTGTAAAGCTGTAGTGTCAGGTGGTTGGTGAGAATAACAGTGTACTCCACCAATGGGAATGGACAAGATTGTTTTGTTCGTTGGTCAATAACTTTATTGGTGATTGATATACGCAAGACAACAAATCAACATATAATTCATTCATTAACAAAAAGGTGCAAATATCTTCTCAAGAACTCAAGCTTAAAACAACATATACAACAAAACACATGAAAGAACAAAGAAGAGCAATCTTTATGTGATGGTGTTGTTGAATGCTTGTATTGTGCTACCATTGAGTATTGAGTGTAAGAACACTATTAGAGTTAACTTTGTGTCTTATGTATTGAAGTCTATATTAATTAGAGATAGTTAATGTAGTGGGCAATGGAAGCATTGATTTGGATCAGTAAGTAATATAGGTATTAGTTAGTATGAGATTAAGAGTTTAGTTTCATTGTTGTAGTTGAAATCTGTATTCACTTTTGCTTGTGATTAGTAAAAGCAGTTAAAATCCTATGTGACAGGTCGTGGTTTACTCCCTTGAGCAAAGAGGTTTCCACGTAAATCTCCTTGTCTCCATTGATTGACCATATTATTTATTTACTGTTGTTTATCTATATGTTCGACCTGATACTACATCACACTGTTGGACGCATACTGTAGCACCCCAAAAGTTTTTTGAGCTAAGACTCGAACCATTCTTCATTTTGAGTAAAATTGTACCGAGGAATTTAAATTTATTTAGGTGTCAAGGTCACTAGATGTAGTACCTTGAGCTCCAAAAAGAACTAAAGAGAAATTCATTTAAATCATCTGTAAGTTCTTTTAAATTTTGGGTCAACTTCAAATGACCATAACTTTTAGCACATAATGAGTTAGGTGGCCTATGAGGTATCAAATCAAAGATCTTTGAGTCCTCTTTCCAACGCCGCCAAGT